AATAACTACCATGACATCAAAAATCCCAGAAGACACTGTAATATCTTCAACCTTGTCTACAAATCAAGATGGCACTGCAACCATCATGACAAAATATCCAGAAGAAATCGCAATATCTCCGTCAAAGTCAACCACGAAAGACATTACAATATACTTAATAGTAATCTCAGTAGCAGCTTCAATAATACTATTTCTGATTTGTATTTTTATTGTTTGTTTTATAAGAAGGAGCTTCAAAGAAAAACAGAATCCTTCAATGAATTCACCAGCAACAAATGAAAAAAAATATGAGATTGACAAAAAATCAATTGGCATGATGGAAAGACCAGCACAAAAGGATGACATCAATTTTAAACAATCCCCTGCAGATAGTGAGATGGAAGAAAATTGCATCTACCAATCAGCAGACACCAATGCTGATGAACAGAATGGAATTATTAATAAAGATAAAGTTGGCATGCCCCACAAAAAGAAAATACAGTGTGACTATCTTGACCAAACAAACAGGGTTTACGAAGAGATTGATGACATCATAGATGATATAAATATAAATAAGAATAAGAAAAGTGGTGGACAAAATACATTGCAGATGTGTAACAAGGTTGAAACATCAAATGATATGGAGATTATAGAGAATGAGGCTTACCAATCACTTGATGAGGTTAATGAATGTATATGGAATGCTGGTCGGGGGAAAGCCTCAGAAAGAATGCAAGCCATGAAGCAGAATGTTGTAAAGCCAGCATATGTTCACTATGAGGTGCTTGAAAGAGAATAATCATAAAGCATAACAAGGTACTGTATTTTAGGAGGGAGTTTTTGCCTTACCTGACATGTAATCGTACCGAATACTCACTACAAATTCTTGAGAAAACAATTTGCAAGTGATTCGGGTGGGAATCAAACTCATGACTTTCAGACACCTTGCCTGTGCTTAGTGACTAGTGTTGAATCCGATCCTCAAGTCAGGTAGGGCAAAACATCACTCCTATGATATTTTTCTGATGCAAACTCACATTGAAATAGTACTGTATTTTATTATGCATTTTTTTGTGTGTGGTAAATGAACTTGTTTTTAGTGACCTAATACGCATAATCTAAATATATAATATATATAGTTGAGACTTAGTGACTAGTGTTGAATCCGATCCTCAAGTCAGGTAGGGCAAAACATCACTCCTATGATATTTTTTTGATGCAAACTCACATCGAAATAGTACTGTATTTTATTATGCATTTTTTGTGTGTGGTAAATGAACTTGTTTTTTAGTGACCTAATACGCATAATCTAAATATACAATATACATAGTTGAGACAGCTTGTTAATTACCACATTTCCTAGAAAAAATTAAATACAGTCATAGAGGTCTCCCTCCAATTAAAGACCACATTTGGGACAGAGGTTCCACTGTCTTTAGCAGCTTTGTTCTCTAATTAGAATTTATTTATTTTTTATTTAATACCATATTTCAAGAGGGTGACCCATCCAGCAATGCTAATCACTAGGAGCCCTGATACAATACAAGAATTAAAAAACAAGAATCACTTAATTACAGAAATTTATAAAATTCAGATGTAAAAGAAAATTTTTAAAAATTTGAAAATACATATTTAAAATGTTATAAAAACATTAACTAAAAAAAATTACAAAATATATTGTTTAAATTTAAGTTTCAAAACAGCAAAAGTAGTACATAAACAAATAGAATTTGGAATAGAATAAATAAATTTGGACCTTTATAGCTAAAACAGTTTTTAAAAATTTCACAATGTTCATTCATGGATTTTATTCAATAATATTCAATATAAAAAATTCAGGCAAAAAAAGTTAAAATTAAGATTATGTCATAAAAACAACAAAATTACCATAAAAAAATGAGTAAGTGAATAAATAAATAACGGGGGAACAGAAGGCAGTATAATGTATTGTAGAGGAATCTAAATTGCACATTATTTACATTGCCCTGGTGGTAGTCATTAAAACAGTACATTAAAATGTGGTCTAGAAATAAAATTATCGCCATTAGTAATTGCACTTGTTGTGGGACGATTGCTTGAATGGATCCTGCTCATCATGCGACATATGTAGTTAGGTGCAGTATTAATGGAAGCTCTAAAAGCGAGACAGCCAAGGTGGTATTGAATGCGTTGTGCAACTGTCATGATTTTTATAGTATTAAAAAGGGAACTAGATGGAGTGTGAGGGTGAACTTTAAGGACCGTTTGAATGGCTCTATTTTTAAGCTTTTGAACTTTGGTGATGTGGGAAGATCTGGAACCCCACACCATACAGCACTAATGAATATAGGGTAAAACTAAGGAGTTATATAGGAGAAGTGCTGTTGATTGGTTGAGAAATTTACAATTTCGGATTAAGAGGGATATAGTAGAATTTAATCTATGGCAGAGTTTGGTGATATGTGAGGTAAAAGAAAGATGTTCATCAATGATGACTCCCAGGTGCTTATGATATTGTACTTGTTTAATAATTTGCAACGACACAGAAATGTTGATAGCGCCACACTTTTTAAGTTTTTGAGACGTCCCAATGACCATGATTTCAGTTTTATTTTTATTAAGTGCAAATAATAAAGAAATGGTTAATTTTGGACCACAAAAAGTGGTCTTAAAGTGGAGAGGCATTTAATTGGTATTTAATTTTTAAGATTTCTCGTAAATTACTCTTTTGATTATTGGCATGTGTTAGTGGACTAATGAAGTGTACTCAGAGTACACAATAGGTCAATAGAAATATATTGCCTCCAGTGCCTGTTTAAATTAATATAATAATCAAGCTTTCGAGCATACGCTCTTCAACAGGATCTATTATTACATAAAAACATCCATAAAACAGTACAAAGTAGACTTAAAATATAAAAACTACTTATTAAAATTTACATTAAAAATATATAATGTTTGCTTATTAAAATTTATTAAAATACTTCAAAATTGTTCTACTGTGTATGGTGATTTATGTCTATTTCGTATCCTGACTTAAATGCTTATAATAAAATATATCCTATACATGTATAAAAAGTTGTCTATTTAATACAAATTTATAAAAGCAATTCATACAACTTACTGAAATAAAATGTACATACTGTAAGCAATACCATGACTATAGAATGAAATCATCAAACGGAACCATAATAAAAATAAATCCCAAATGTGATAATAAATACGATATACAAAATTTTCACACTATGTTCATTCTTTCAACACCATAGATAATACATGTACATATGTTGGGATATCCGGTGTAGTCACCCTTCAGTGACAATGGTATGACCCAACCTATTTCAACATTGTGATTAGCTATCCAGAGGGCTGTCTTGTCTATTTTTGGACGGCTACATTGCCTGTAGAAAAAAACAACTTGATACAGTTGAGAAAAATTGATATTTTCTTTCACAGTTCATTTGCCCTGGTGGTTGATTTTTTTTTCATATAATTTTTCCCCCTAATCCCAATTTAGCTTATATAGATATAGTTAATAAAATAGAAAAATGTATTAATAGGACTACAATTGCCATTTAATTTATTTAAAATGAACACTAAATAGTTTCTTGCTTTGCATTTTTTTATGAGCAGAGGATGAAGTAGTATGTATACATAAAATAAGTATATATACATACATATATACATACATATATATATATATACATATATATATATATAC